TTTTGAAGCTCCCTCCTATATACATCATGAAGATCCAATCTCTGTATGCATGGGGTCAGCATGAATCAGAAGCCAACATGACAATGGCTAACAACATGTGTGATAACAATAATTTTGCCATAAATCAGTACATCTTAATGTAATTAAGAGATGGTTATATATAAGGGGCCTTCAAAAAGTTCCCAGAAAGGGCTGATGAAACAAAATATAAATGGGTCTCTTGTGATGCAATGGTGATTAATTGTTATCAGGACAGATTGTGAGGGTTGGAAATCTAAAGATGGACATTTTGTAGCAAGGAGGGGAGTGATTAACTTATCAGTCTACAAGCTGAGGACCCTGGGACCACCAATAGAGAAGAGCGAAGAGCGGAATCCTACCCAGATAGGTGGTGAGGCCTGAGATGGAGGCAGAGAAGTCGACGTCAAGAGATGGTGTGGCTGGGGACTCGGGATCAGGAGATGGAAAGGGGCTGAGGACTGTGGTGGGGGGTGGTGCAGGCTTACAGGGTACACCCCTTAGTTGGGTGAGGATGCATGAACGGGATGGTAACTATGCCAATGAAATGATGGATGATGGAATGAATGTAAAGCTGATGTTCTCCCATGTAGACTATCACACAATTCACAATAAAACGTTAAAAAAAAAAAAAAAAGTTCCTGGAAAACTAGAATTAAAAGATAATGGAATTTTTCCATGAAGTTTTAGAGGTATGTATATGTATTATGTTTTATTATCTATGCATAAACAAAGATGGGAGAGCAGTGACTCTTTAAGCAATGGACTACAAACTACAAGTCTGAGTTCGAGCCCACCAGTCACTCCAAAGAAAAAAATAACACTTTCTGCTCCCCCAAAGACTGACAGCCGTGGAAACCCTAGACAGGGACACTATGAGTTAGAACCTACTCGACAGCACTCAGCAACAACAAATGAACAATGAATTATGGAAAAGGCTGATTCATAAATGTCATATTAGGCTTTTTCAAAATAATTCCTGTACCTTTATCCAACACTATTTTTCTTTTTGTTCAGAAAATTGCATTAATTTTGTACAAAACATCTCATTAATGAAAAGAATAAGAACTCATTTCTCTCATTTAAAGACTTAATTTATACCCACTTCAAACTAAGTCATATTACTGAGTTCCTATTCCATGTAATTTGTTAAAATATTTTGAGGGACACAAGGAGAAAAGCAACAAATCCTTTTCATTAAAAAGTTTACAGTAAATCAATTTATATCACACCTTGATAATTTACAATAAATACTTAAGACAAAAAAAATTATCCAATTCACATTTCAATAAGTACAATATATTAAGATATTTTATTTGTATTACTGAGAGCTGAGTAGAAATTACTTACGGTTACATCGTTTCTGTACAAATCGTAATTTGCAAGCTGTTCTGTAGGTTGATAGTCTTATGACATCAAAATTCTGAGCACCTGAAAAAAGGGCAAATAAATGATGTTCAACTGCATTTACCAGGCAATTTCTAACTGCTAGGAAATACCTCCATCACAGTATCATGGTCACAGTGTGTTATCAGGTACACACAGTACCCTGATGTGCTAACTAGGTCTGCTGATAACACAATAAGGGACCAAAAAAGGTTAGGGGACACTTTCTGCATGCCCGTAACAAGATAGGCACTTTTGTTAGGTGCCATCGTGTCAGTTGTAAGTCACAGTGATTCTATGCACAACAGAACCCAACACTACCTGGCCCTAAGCCATCCTCAAAACTGCTGTTACGTCGGAGCCCATTGTTACTGTTGCCATATCAGTCCATTTCATTAGGAGTCTTCCTCTTTTTTTCTGACTCTCCATTTCCCAAGCATGATGTCCTCCAAAGATGGGTCCCACCTAACTACAAGTACAAAGTACAAAAGACAAAGTTTCGCCATCCTCATTTCTATGGAGCATTCTGATTGCATTTCTAAGATAGAATTGTTTCTCCATCTGGCAGTCCATAGTACTTTCAACACCATAATTCAAATGCATCGATTCTTATAAAGGCTTCATTATTCACTGTTCAAACTTTCTCATGCTGAAGAAGCAACTGAAAATATCAAGGCTTGGGTCAGGCTCACCTTAGTCCTCTAAGTAACATCTTTGCTCTTTAACACTTTAAAGTGACCTCTTGCAGCAGATATGCCCAATGTAATACATCATTTGACAGGCACCATGCCAGTAGATTAATTCTGTTTGCTAACCTAAGAAAGCTGTGAGAGAAGGAACACTTGTGGCCCAGCTGCAAGAATATTATCAGTCAGGAAGGATATTAGGAAAGACCCTACCCTAGAGTCATGAGAGCTAAATTCTAGGCCCAGTCTGATCACCAACCAGAGAACATTTTATACATCTTAGCCTCAGTGTCCTCATCTATAAAATGGGAAAATTGGCCCACCTGATAGCTAATATCCCCTTCCAAGTCTGTGGTAGCCTGTATTTCTTTAAAATTGGCCACAACAGTATTTCTGACCAGTATTTTATATGCTCTTAGTACTGGACCACAAGGTTGGTTTGAACCACAAGGTTGGCAGTTCAAACTTACCATCCACTCCTCAGAAACCCTATACAGGGTTGCTATGAGTCGGAACTGATTCATAGCACTTAACAACTCCTCATCAAGAAGCAGAGACTATGTTCCTCCTCTTTGGCCTAAACACGATGTTGTGGCTGTCTAATGACTAGAATCTGACAGAAGTGACCCTGCATGACTTCTGAAGACACGTGCTAAAAGGTGGTACTGCTTGCCCCTGCTCTCACTCTCAGGATGCTTGCCTTGGAACCCAGATACCACATTGTGAGGAACCCCAAAATAGCCCAAGGACACAAGCTACATAGAGGAGCTCATAAGGGGAGCAATGAGCCCATCAGCCAAAGCCAGGATCAAATGCCAATCATTTTCAGATGAGGCCAGCACCTAGTCTTCAAGTATTCCAACCATGCCAGACATCATGAAACAAACTCAAGTGATCTGCACTGGATACTGCTCTAATTCTGGAGCCACAAAATGCATGGGCAAAATAAATGACTGTTGTGATTGTTTAAAGGTAAGTGATATGTAGCCACAGTAACAACAGCAAGACCTAAAATTACCTACCTGACAAATCAAACTTTGTTCTCACTTTCAGCATGCTGTAAACGAGGCCTCCTTGAATTTAAAAGTCACTAGATAGACAGACGGAGTCTGCAAAGTCGTTTGAACTGCAAGGTTGGTGGTTCAAGCTCACCAGCAGCTCCTTAGAAACCATATATAGGGTCACTATGGGTCGGAATCGACTCGATGGCACTTAACAACAACAACAGATAGTTTGGCCGCCAGTGTGAGTTTTTAAATTCAGCTACGGTGCCTTTATAACTGACTGCAACTTTTGATTGAATAGAGGGAAAATGAATTGCCACAAATTATTTTCCATTAGATTTTCAGGCATCTCTCATTGCTGCTCATTTTGAAATATAAAAAGAAAACAGAGAATTCTTCCAGACTTTAGGTGAAAGTAATTATTTATTGACCAAAAGGTGAAGTGAGGGTTTCTATTAGTCTCAGCTTAATTATTACCTTAATGTCATGATTAGTATCTTTCCTCTCTCTTTCTCATGAAATTTCTATCCTTCCTTATACAGATTATGGTGGTGGTGGTTATATGCCGTGGACTCGGTTTCAACCCATAGCAACCCTGTACAGGGTTTCTGAGGCGGTAAATCTTTATGGTAGCAGAAAGCCTCATCTTTCTCCCACGGAACAGCTGGTAATTTCGAACTGCTGACCTTACGCTTTGCAGCCCGATTCGTAACCACTACGCTACCAGAGAGACCCATTATTTTATAATAAAACAGCTTTACTGAAATATGAACTCAATACCATACAATTAACCCATTTAAAGTATAATCAGAGAGTTGTGAATTACCATCATCAATTTTAGAAGGTCGCTTAGAAACTTTAGCAGTCTATTTGTCTATTATTTAAATTGGACTATCTGTTCTTTCTATGTTGTTGTTCTGTGGGTTTTTGTGTTGTTGTTGTTTTTTGTTTTTTTTCACTTTACTGATGATGTCCACTGAAGCACACATTTTAAATTCAGATAAAGTCCAAGTTCTTTTGTCACTTGTGCTTTTGATTCATATCTAAGGTTTTGTCTAATCCCTGGTCACCCAATATTACACCTACATTTTAGTTCTTTCATCAATCTGAATTAATTGTTCTGTATGGTATAGGTAGGGGTAACTTCATTTTTCTACATGTGGCCAGCCAGCTGTCCCAGTACCACTTGCCTTCCCTACTGGATTGTCTTAGGACCCTTGTCAAACACCTACTGACCGTCTATGTAAGGACTTATTTCTGGACTCTCAATTCCATTCCATTGATCTGTAAATCTATGCTATGCTAGCATCTCAGAATCTTGAGTATTGTAGTTCTGTACTAAGTTTTGAAATCAAGAAGTGTGAGACTTCCAACTTTATTTTTCTTTTGCAAGACTGTTTTGGCTATTCTGGTTCCCTTCCACATCCAAAGGAAGATACAATAAACACTGACACAAGCTCATTTCCCACGAAGAAAAAAGGGGAAATTCGAGAAGCCACATTCACCAAATATCTCCCAAACTGTCTGTACTCCTGAGCTGTAATAAAGAACAGAAACGTAGGTATCAGAATGATTTAACACACACTAAGCCTTAAACAAACATTTATTTATTTATTTCACTTTCTCTCTCCTCTTGAAGTCCTGGTGTGGCACTGTAGGATAAGCACTAGACCACAAGGTCAGCATGACACACAAGGTTGGCAGTTCAAACCCACCAGTCACTCCTTAGACAGGGTTGCTATGAGTTGGAAGCAACTCGAAAGCATTTAACAACAACAGTCTCCTCTTACTAAAATGTGAGCACTGTGAATTAAATAGGGGCTATGTTTTGTTCTCCCCTGTAGCTGAAAAAAAGAGTGCCCATAGCACAGTACAATCTCAATAAACGTGTTTAAAACTAATGAAAAGATGACCTCTCAGCTAAGTCTTAAAGAATAGAAAGAAGTTAGCCAGACGAAAGTGAAAGCAACAGCATTAGAAAAGGCACACAGACAAGAAATTACATGATCTGTCTGGAGGAAAGCCAATTCAGTATTGCTGGGAAATGACACACAAAGCTTAACATTGAAATTGGGAACTTTCTCTATATAATGCTGCATTTTTCAAGCCAAAAAGAGACCAGAAGAGCCTCGTCTGTCTGGCATGCTAAGGAACTTGGACTTTATTGTGAAAGTGATAAGGAACAACTGAAGGGATATAAACAAAGTAATAGATTTATATACTGTATTCTAGCAACACAATAGACAGTAGACAAGAGAGTGTTAAGACTCAATAAAGGGAACAGAAACTTATTGTTTTAGTTTAAGAAAGTAACAATTTAAAATATTAATAAAGAAAACAAGATGGCGGATTGGGAAGTGGACGTGTAATAAAAAGCTCCACCAACAACACAGAATACCCGACCAAGCAGGCTCAGGGGATGGTCCCAGAACTCTGAACCACATATAAAGGAATACTTAGAAGG